GAGGGCTCCGCCGCCCCGGGGACCCCCGGCCGGGCCCACCTTCGTGTCGCGACAGAAGCGAGCGCGTTTTCCCTCTCGGAAAACGTTTTCCCATCTCCGAAACTTTGGCTTCCGTCTTTTACAGACTCTCTCGGGCACTTTTGTTCTTAAGTCTGTTGAAGTTGCTTTAAGGGTTCGTTAGAACTTTTGTGTCAGGATTTGGTCTGTTTGCTTTGTAGCAGTGGGAAATCGGTGCGTCGCTGCCCAGGCGGGGAGGGAATTAATTAATCTAAGTTCGCTTGTGTCTAACTCCACTGTGTTTACAAATACTAGCAAAACAGTTCTCCCAAACTCCAACAGAAACTTTAAGCCACACTTACATCTTCCTGTAGAGGTTATCTGGCCTGCCTAGTTATAAACTTCTCCTTTTGAATAGGTCTTTAAGGTGGAGTAGCTCACTCCTGTTAACTCTTTTCCGTGAGAAAGCATGGCTCTGCTAAAGGTGCACGGACCTGTCCGGATGCGCAGCATGCAGACTGGGATTACAAAATGGAAAGAAGGGAGCTTTGAAATTGTGGAGAAAGACAACAAAGTGAGTCTGGTGGTTCACTACAATGTTGGAGGGAGTCCAAAGACGTTTCAGGTACACCAAATATTAAGGCTTTTGTTTGACCAGTGCATGGGTTGTGCTCCTTTGTGAACAGCTGTCCTCTTCAAGGCTATTAAGTGTCACGCAAGCTTCCCTTTGTCACTCTTTCTTGTTCCTCGTTTCCTGAACACTAATCCCTTTGTATAACTCTCCTGTAAATTATTCACGTGTATTCTTAAAGGATCTGCCAAGGTCGACATCAAGATGCTGCTGAATGAGAAGAACCAAAAAGCAGAGAAAAGTTACCAAAGCACATACGTAGCATTGTGGCTCATGAGCTGGGGTTTTTGGAATGTGTAACCTTTCTGTTACCAATACATTTGCAGAAGGTAGAGGTGCAGATCCTGAACACTTTGTACTATCATCAGTTTTCTCACCTGAGGAGTAGCGGTGCTAACACACTTACAACCTTCGGTTTGTTTAAACAAGACTGCTCCACAACAGTTGTTACAGTTTTGTGTTTTTAATATTCCAGGCAATGGGGTTCCTTCCCTGGGAGGCTGATGCAGATCACTGTTAAAGATTTTCATGCACTATTCAGCCTAAATTGCCTTTTTTTTTTTTTCCCATTCTGTCCTTGGCTTCAGTTCAGTCTTCCTTTATGTGTAGTACCCCAGATCAAAAGAATGTAAAGGACTGGTTTTCTGTAAGGAATTTCTATCTGATACAAAAATATTTAGAGGATATAAGAGCAGTTGGAAGGAAAAAAAAATCCAGTCTTACTTAGCAACTTTATAACAGCCTAAACTAATCTAAGTGTTGTCTTCTGCTTTTTCATGCCAAGTTGTTCCTCATGAGTGGTGTTCCCCAGACTTTTCTCTGAGCTCTTCTGTGTGTGGACTCGGTAAAAAAAAGTTCACTTTATTTGTGAAAGATCAGGTTTTGCTGCCTCAGCGTGCTGAAATGTCTTAGCAAACCTGAGTTGCCTTCAAATCAAGAGGCAAGAACATCATTATCTGTGGATAGTGCCTTCCTGTTAATGTGGACTTGAATCATTTGCCTTCTCAGACACAGTGCTGTGACTGCATGCTAGATTTAATCCAGCACTGGACCATGTTGCTTCTGAGAAGAGTATCATAGGTCTCATACCTTTACTGGGTGCTTGTTCCCTTGCACTGCTTTCTGTCTGGATGAGCGTTAATGTGGTGTGACAGTGACTTGAAAGGTGATTCCATGGGGAGGATGAGTCTTCAGAACAGCAAACCATGGCCTAAAGAGGCAGGTTTTGCTTCCAGCCTCTTGCATCTGCTGGTTTTGCCACTCGTCAGGTCTCTCTGAGAGCTCAGTTGAGGGTTTTCACATGAATTAATTCAGGGAAAGGACTAAATATGAGATCTGGTGTAGGGGGTGATATGGCACCATGCAGCTAGGAGTGCGCAGAAGGAGGAGGAAATGCCACATCTTTAGACCAAGTATTTTTCTTTGGATGGTGGTTATTTTTCAGCAGC